TTAAAACTCACCTAATACTGCAGCAATAAATTTTACTTCCAATTCACATTGGCGTGCCATAAAGTAGAACAAACTTCAAAAGACAACAAAACTACTCGCAACAAACACGATCAAATCACCCATATTTCGTTCGACAAGTCTATTCCACCGAAAACCGAGCAGCGACGCGCGAAACAATGCGCCATCGACCAATAAATCGACAACCGGCATTCATCCTTCGATCCTCGCGACAGCCAAGAGGAGCCAGGCCAGCATACGACAGCATCCTTGGGAAGTAAAATTTATCTCGCAGACGTTTTCGTCCTCATTTGTCCCTCGTTTTCGAACGCAAGACTTTCACGCGGTACACGATATCGGTTGCACCGAAGCATACGGAAAAACAAAGGAAAAAGACACGGAACAGGGAAGAGAAGAAAAAAAAAGATGAAAAGGGGCGAACACCGAAAAAGGCTGATCTCGATGAACCAGTGCACCGTTACTGATTACACTGGCATACGCTAGCGTCCTTCGCGGTAACAATGTAATACCGTGTATTCAGAGCAGCGAGATGCACACCTACATCAGCCGGTGACGATGCGGCGGCCGGCCAGCTTCGCGACGTATTCCTCGTTGTTGTTACACGCGCGCTGCTTGCTCGTGATCGAGCGAGGAGTGTGCGAGAGAGCGAGCGAGCGAGCGAGCGTGTGCGCGCGCGCGCGCGCGTGGTGGCCCCATCGTGCACGCGAAAGAGCGTGGAACCGAGCGAAGCCTGGAACGGAGCCACACGGCCGAGAGCGCGGCGAACGGAGAAAGAGGAAAGAGTTATATGCACGTACGACGTACGGTCACCCCGCGATCGGCTCACGGGAGTAAAGGTTTTACCGATGGCATACCCCATACACGCAGAGACGGGCATATAGGCAGAGGTTCCCACACTGCAGGCCATGATTTATTGGCCTGCCACCCGCCAGACCTGCTGTCATCATCATCCCATGGTTGGTCCAAGATACAGTGAAGCGTACCGTATATAACTTCCCTTTCTGCACGATCTTCGCGCCATATCGGCTCCTTCTTTCCTCGCGCCCCACAGTGCGGCCGACTGTGAATAAAACCCAAAAATTCAACTATTCACACAACGGAATTGAAGGTTACCGATCTGTTGCTAAATAGTCCCTGCTGTACAAAATGATGTTTATTTTTGAAATTAACACGGTTATCCTATGTCACCGGTTATTATTCTGTAATTAAATATGAAAGTCGACACAATGTAAGTTAGCTTCAATATACTTTATACGTAACGAATTGAAATGAAACTTTGGGCATGTCTTTTGTGTTACTTTGAATATTTTGTTTTTACAATAGTCTATATTGCTTCTGTTTCAGACATTGAAGTATATGTTAATGGATAATTGTGTAGCGTTGTCAAAGATTACAATACAGACATTCCGGGTATCCCATATATTTATAGTTTTACCTTGTGTTTATTGTCGAATATATTTATACAGATTTTTGACAGTGGAAAATACTTTCAGAAGTATGTAGGTCTGATTTCATGTAACTCTGTGCAAATAAATTCCATTCCTTTGTTTGTACAACATTGGAATCAAAATGTAAAGTATCCTTTAGTTAATATTGACCTATAAAACGGTTGACCTTCGATAATGTTATGATTTTTGTGGTTTTAGAATCTGTGGATGTCATATGTTAAGACCCTATTCAATTGTTCTACTATAATTTGCCACAGTGTCTTGTATTTAATTTTTTTGTGTTCGACTACACAAAAAAACTAATATAATTCAGTGCTCTGCAAAAACCTCAACATCATCCGCAAAAATACAAAATCAAAAATATAAGTTCATACATAAAATTTTTATTTCGTCGTTTAAAAAACTTCATAATATCTCTATAATGTAAAAAAAACAACCAGCATATGCTTGGCTCTACACCTCACAGCTCTTGTCTGAAATATTTTATTATCGCGTATACTTTTTAACATTAAACACGCCGTGACCGGTCAAATGACCGGTTTTCAAATTTGATTGAAAATTCTACGTTTTTCTTCGTTTATTTCATTTCATCTCAATTCCTATATTGTTAGATCAACCGGTTTCTCAATTTCTCCCTTCTGTTCTTGCGTCCATTAAGAAAAATGAATCGTCTAACATGTTTGCCTTTATTTTACAACCAGCTATTTGACTAGTTATGGTAGAACTATGTATATGCAAAGTGCCACTGCGTTTAGTGTTAAATTATTTAGTTTTGCCTAGAAAACGGACGTTTGGTCGCATTGCGCGCCCTGGCGAAACAGGAAGGTCCCGTTCGACAAGCGTCCCCATCCGTTTGCCGTTGCCTTTGCCTTATGCAGCGGTCGACGTTCGATAGCCGCTGCCGTTCTTTCGTCGGGAGTTAATAATTAGCTCCTCCTTATCTACGCCGCGGTGCGCTATCTTGGTCTGGGTAGCTCTCGCGATTTGCCCCTTTCCTTTTTCTTCCTCCCCTTCCTCCGGCTCCTCTTTCTCTTCTCGTTTTCCTTCTCCCGCGGAGACGTGTTCCCTCCGTGGATTAACGCCTCTGTTGCAGAGCGGTGTCGATGCTGATTATTCCCGCGCGGACCGTATCTTCTGGGAGGAAATCAAGGACAATCCACGGAGTTTTAGGGCTCTGTTCCTATATGTTTTCAAACCAGTTTTGAGAGTGTCGGGGGACCAACGCGTTCGCGAGATTTTCTTGTGTTTGTATACGAAAATAAGGGACACTAGCTTCAGACGGTTTCATAGCGACTCGGGTGTGTCGGGGCTGATCCGCGGTTTACGTCCGGCAGTCTCGCGGTAATAAGCAGTGGCAATGGATGTTTTAAGAATGACTCAAACGAAGGGAGTTGGAAAGTATGAGGATCAAGATTATACCTGTTACGAGTGTGGAATTGAATTTCGGAGAGTACAGGTTGTATTATATACCCGTGTAAATCTATCTGTTTGGATACTGTAATATTATTTTTCGGTTTATGTCATGTTGTTTTATGGTAATAACAGTACAGAGTACTATAAAACTACTGCTTTTTATTTGTAGTCAGCGTCTAATTTCTCGTAAAGTTGGTAAATAGAATAAAATCATAATATAGTAATGGAATAATAACTTAGTCATTGTAATTTCCCATGGACGTCTATTTAATACGTATATGCTTACTAAAAGTAAAAACTAAAGTATCGTCAACTACCCCCAATTGTATTCAGATTTCGAACTTCTCTTAGACTTTTACTTCTCATATTGTCGAAATTATTTAAAATATCCGATAATTGCAAACAGTAATTAAAACGACACGACACTCTAGTACATTCTGAGAACCGGTTTCCTATAGAATTTGAATTTTATTTTATTTTACAAAAAAATTACGACCATGAGATTGTTTACGCATATTGCAATAGGTGGATCAAACCTTTCCATTTTTAAATATACATCAGTCACTTCTTGTTATCTTTCAATGAAAAATAATAATCAGATATGTCAATGAAATCATAAGAGATGACTATCAATATAAGTTAATATATGAACAAATTTTAATAAAGCAATCTTGTTATTCCAATTATTATAGTTGAAATTTTGTTATTCTAAATATTATAATTTTATTATTCTATTTCTTATTATTGTATTTATTGTAGTTGTTCGTTTCGAATATTATACTTATATACCGCCCATTTTTTGTCCATATTTTTTTTATTTTCTTCTGTTTGGAATTTAATTTGTCTTACTGCTCAATTTTTCACAATTTTATTTCTCCGTCTTTCCTTTCCAGTTTCATTCATCTCCTTTTGACAAATTAAAGATAAAGAAAATTTTATTGCAATGCTTTATAAGCCATTAAAGCAATTAAGTAGTTTGTTTTACATACTAAACCAAATAATATATTAGTCATTATTCCTGAATGCACGTCGTATACTGGAAAAACTTGATGCAGTATCATAAGCAGTTTTGGCCACTATATTTTCCCATAAAAGTAATTTCAATTTTATAATTAAAACCTTCCGGAAAACATTTCAAAGGTCGTTTAACCTGTTTATACCATAATTTTATGTATTTATACTCTCGACGTTTACACATTAAAACCATTCTTTCAGAAACTACTCTTTTACTGTTTAAAATCAAATTTAATCACTTCTCTTACACTTGTTCCCTATGTAAGCTTAGACGAATTACATTAATTTCAATACTTGATTTGATAATTCTTTTATCAAAAATATTTATTAAAATATCGTTGCAAACCAAATCCCATTAGCATTTACCATAGAATAATACATTTTACCTATAACATGCAATTCTTACTCAATACAATACGTCACCCTACACATTCCGAACCAAAATGATCATAAACACTAATTGTCCTTACGAAAATAAATAACTCAATTATTTGGCACTTAATTCAACACCGTCATCCCAACCACGTCCCAATCTCATCGACACCCAGTTCACGCCACGGTCGAGCATGAATGAACCCACCCGTCCGGAAACCGAACGCTATTCCGCCGGAAACGGGAAAGTCTTTTAAACACGTGATGCCGCGGCAGTGGGCACCCGGTTATTGACACAAGGGTTAAGACCCGTGTAAAACGTCGCGTTGATGATACGTAACCCCGCGGACCCATTGGTCCACCAAAGATTCCCTCGAATTATGGTCACCCGCGTGTACCTACACGTGGTGGCCGGGGCACTAGCACATGCACGACAAAAACATAACAACGAGTGTGTATG